TAGGCCAAACCACACAAGGACAAGAAGTGCCTTTGAATAGTTACAATTTTAGTCAGAAGTCAGACAGTAAAGTACTGAATCTAGAAAGTCTTGATAAGCATCAACAACCCTGCCCAACTATCATATTTAATTTTTACCTTTTAAGGTTATATAAATTACACTTTTTTATTGTTATTTTTTTTGTTGCACCCACATGAAACGGAAAATAAACAATAAAATATTATGAAAATACCATTAGTAATAGTAATATGTAAATTATGTATATTGCAAATTCTAAATATATAAAAACTCCATCTAATCGAAGTCAGCTTCCTTTTTAATTTTATTTTTAATTTTTATTTTATTTTACAACCAGTATTCACTTTATTTTCAGACGAAAAATTGATCTTAATTAAGTAAGCTTGATTTTACATTAAAATTTCCTTCTAACGTGTATATTGCTTTCATAGGGTGAGCATCTGAATTCTAGGAATTAAGAAAAGTGTTAACTAATCTATCTCCTATATAAGTATATATCTATATTTATACCTATAGTGTATTTCCATAATAAAATGCGTTTCTATTGTAAATATTTCTTATGTTAATACTTCCAGTTCCAATAATTAAAGACTTTCCAATTAGTAAATTGAGAATATAAATAGTAATAGTAATAGTGAAGTAATATTTATATCACCACCTACGAAATAATACAGAATATTGTATGGTACTAAATACTTGTATATACTACAAATGTCCCTCTTGACTCAATTTCAGTCTGTATTAAATAATTTCAATGGAATGATTTCAATTATTGGAATCCAATGAGCAAATAATTAAGCTGAATGCAGAACGTGGGGCAGAACGAGATGAAGACAAAGCATGATGAAGCAATGCTGTCGCTGCAATGACTTTCGAGTCAATCAATTAGTTTCGAAGAAAATCGACTCCTTTGTGCTGCCAACTTTTGTTCCTTTCCACTCGCTCTCCACATGGAACCCCTCTTGATGGCAGCTGCGCCTCTCCATCTCCCAAGGACGCAGTTCATCTCCAGAGCTTTTCATCGCCCTGCCACATGTCAATCCACAGGCGCACTTGGAGTCACCGGATGCTGTGTGGTGCTTTTTGGGCGGATCCGGTGGTAAATGCGGTGCGGTTCTCGAGAAGTGCGCCCAGCACGAGTTAAAATTTAATTTAGTGAAAATAATTTGCTTAGTCGTGCTGCAAAATTGCATAATTGTCAATGGCTCGGCAAACCAAACCAATCCAATTCAGGCCAAACCACTCCACTCCATTCTCCCGCTCTAATGAGCGGACTGCGGCGCCATTTTGTGGCACCAACACATCTGCATATTGGAAAATTATAGCTCTGAGTCCCGAGTGCGACGCCTGCCACATCCACCGCTCTGCTTCTGGCTTTTGTTGGCTGCGCTGCGCTTTGCGCCTGCGCAAAAGTCCAAAAGCGATGCGCGTGGTTCGGTTCGGGCGCATGGTGAGGCGCAATGGGGGGGCGGTCGCTGACGACGAGGTGACCTCCAGCCGTGCCAGGAGAGGACTCACGGCCCTGACTCGCAACAGGCAGGCTGGCAGCCAGGCAGCAACCGACAAGCTTAGCGAGGACCGAAGGCTTCTCGGTCTCAGTTTAATAAACCGAACATTCGCATACCCTAGAAAGGATAGCCTAACCCGTCAGTGATTAGAACTTACCAGAGATATCTCAATCTATGAAAAGTATTCCCTGCTACTAAATATAATGAACCGTTTACATATATAGTCTAGATAAATAGGGAATATTATAATAGTTACCACTTTAAACAAGTGAAAATAAATTAACAATTATCAATTATCAAGAAATACTAAAAATGTATACATAATTTAAAATTATAAACCTTAGCTAGTGAAGCTACGCTCAGTTAGGGTATGTAAATACGTGATTACACTAAGATATGCAAGCAATGCAACTCAACCCATTCCACCTTCCTTTGCCATTGCGACCGCGCCTCATGATGAGCTGTAAAACACGCGTTTTCATAATGTTATTAAATGCAACGTGGGCTGAGGAGGAGGATGAGGCCGGACTGGGGAAGGGCGAGGCAACCAACGGCCATTTGACATGCCAAAAAACACTTCTGTCACAGCAGCGGCGACTCCGTGGAGAGCACCGCATCCAGTCCGTAGGGGGTGGCCGCCGAACCACAAAAGCGTGCCATGCCCACTCTTGGTCGCCCCCGTCTCACCTTCTCTCGAGCACACCGGGAGAAACAACGATCAAAGATCAAACCAATACACCTCAAGGAAAGTCAATATATATATTTGAATTAAGATCAACCAACGACAAACTAAATACTTGACTATATATGTACATAAATAATAATACTACAATTGGAAACTGTTTCATTTACTTATTTTTTGTATACACACATTTTGCAATGTTTATTTACTGTTTCGAAATAGTATAGTATATAGTATATATGTATAATAGTAGTATTATAAGCTACAAAGTTTAATATTTAAACAGTATAATTTATTTATTTCTCTCTGTGTATTTCTCATTCTATCTCTTTTCATCTGTAATGTGCGCAGGCGCCGCTGGAATTGGTGCGCTGATCGAGTTTGGTTCGCAAATTAAGCGCCGCATGCGCCGCGGCAATTATTTCGCTTTAATAAACCTGATACGAAGCGAATGCTCTTATCTATGATTTTCGATTGCTACCGCGGATGCCGCACAGTAGCCCGAAAGCAGTTTGGCTATTTAATTTCAACTTAACAAAGTTTTTACGGCGACTAGATGCCAGCGGATGCCATCAAAGTGGCTTTTTGATTTTATAGTTCGTGAAAATTTAATAAGTCCGACGTTGGCTCTCACTGCGATTACCATAATAATATAATTTATAATATATTTTATTATGTTCTCTTTAACATACATATGTTTGAATTTAATATTAATCATAATCATAAAAATTAACTTTAAAAATCCCCTATTTTCGGGAAGCTTAGCAACTTAAAGATCCATAAGTGTACTTACCTATCTAACAGGAGAGATATAGTAATTTATTTAGATGAAAAAACAAAATGTAGCTTAACAATTTAAAGTTTAATGTTTTGTATTTTCGAATACATTTATTGCTCGTTCTTATATGTACATATGGCAAGGTCCAGCGCTGCCAAAAACTCAAAATTGCTTAAAAACAAGTATTTTAGCATGATTACATAAAAAAATTGGTCAGATTGATCAAGACTAAGAGAATTTTCATTTCTAAAATAAATTTAAAAAAATTAATATCAATCACGTGCCAACGCAAATAATGTTGATTTTTTCATAAAAAGTGGCATGTTTTGTTTTAATGTCAATCTCTTAAACAAAAGCATTTTGCTTTTACTTTTGCTTTCTAATATCACACAGAGAATGCAAAGAGTCAATATAAAGTGCAGAAGGACATATGCGATCACCAATGTTCGTACAGTTTTAGTTTGAAATATCGCTTTCCAAAATTTCGCATGCGACCGGGACTATACGTTTAACTTTTTGTTAAATTAAAATAAAGTCTTGGCACATGTTTTTTTTAGTTTGAATGCATACGAATGTCGCATTCGACACCAGAGAATTGCCCATATATGATACAATTGTTAGATTTGTGTAAAATTTTAAGAATTAATAAAAATATTATTTAAAATGTCTCAGAGCTATGAACATATATTGGAAAACTGCGGTTTTTTTTTATTTTTCTTTACTATTTTCCCTATAGTTCATATGGCAGCTATAGGATATATTAATGTGCCTCGTTCTGATTTATGTATGTATGTACATATGTACATATATAGTACCTGCAGTACTGCAAAATTTAATTTACATAGATAGCCCAATATCTTAAAAACCTGCAAGGGTATACCGGAAGTTAAAAAAAAATTTCAATTAACCCCTCACAATATAAGGCTATCTTAAAACAAAAAACTCAAGACAAATATGAAGTTGTATCAAATAAGAGAGTTAAGTTGCTTAACATAAACTTTAAACATTTTTATGAAATGCTTATGCTTATGGATGGTTAATCAAAGTGTTATTACTTCTTAATTAAATGAATACGATTTCTGTAAAGTGCACAAACTTTTTTCTAAAATAATTTACACAAATTTTATTAAGAAAATATTTTAAAATTCAATTAAATTGTTAACATATTTCTTTTACATTTATTTTAAAACAAACTCTTAATTTTATATTAATTTTAAATGTTCAAAAGAAATCAAGTTGTCTGGCAACTTCGCCATCATAATGTTCAGCCAGGTGGCGCCTGTTTGGCGGGTTGCGCCCCTGGCGGAGAAAAGCCAAGCACACACATAGCCATCGTTAAGTCGATTGGTCACAGCTGCTGATGATGGTGATGCAAAAAAAATAATAGTAGTGTTAGAAAACATCGATATCGCTGAAAACAATAAAATTATTATTTTAAACTTCTATGTATTAAGTGTAAGCATAACGAGATCTTCAAAAACAAAAACAAGAAATAACTTAAATTAAAGGAACTTTACTTAAAAAGCCACATATTGTGTTTTATAAAGAATGGCATATTTAGTGCCTTTGGTGTTTTTTGCAGAATGCTCATTTTATACCCTTTCAGGATATAATAATTTTAGTTTGAAGTTTGCAACGCAGTGACGGAGACATTTCCGACTCTACAAATTATATATTCCTGAGCATCAACAGCCGAGTCTATCTAGCCATGTCAGTCCGTTCGTCCGTCTGTCTAGCTAAGCAAAATAGTCTCTAATTTTTGAAGAAATTAATGAAAAAAAGTTGAAATCTCGATGATTTTCAAAATATTTGCATCTTCTCAGAGATGGAGCCCCTTTTTAATATACATGAAATATATGTAAATGAAAATCGGAAGACTATGTCATATAGCTGCCATAGAAACGATCTGTAGAGAAAAATTCAAAACTGTAAATGTAAAACTGTAACTGCAAAACTGTAAATATAGTTTGAATTTAGTATGTTTAGGTGAAAGTAACAAAAGTTGTCAGTACTTCGATGTTTTGGCCAAAGTTAGCTAACAAAAAATCAATATAATAATCAAAGCATAAAGTAACAACTTCTGTAGCTCATGCTGACTCTTTGTGCCCCAAAACTTATAGATTAAGTCACGACGATTCCTTTTCGAGGAACTGCCCAAGTAGGTTTAAACTTTAAGAAATTGTAGAAACCCTTAATCATTTAAATATAATGTTCACATTTATCAAACTCAGGTATTGCCGGCGATCTTATCGTTTTAAAAAATATCGATACTATCGATAGTGACATCGATGTTTTTGCATCCCAACTGCTGATGAATGAACGAAGTGCGGTGGAGTAAAAGCGTAAAACACGGCAAAAGAATTCGCAAACCAGCAGGAAAAAGATCAAGAGATCGCGGAGAGTAGCCTAAAGGACCAAATATATCGTCGTCCTTTCCGCCGGCCACAATGGGAGTCTAGTGTTTTTGCGGCAGGTTGTGCGCGTTTGTGTGTGCGTGGTAAGGGCGCAGTAGCAGTTGTAGTTGTGGGCGAGTGCGTGTAGTAGTAGTACGAACGAGCGTGCAAGGCGACCACGAAAACAAAAAGAAAAGAAATCCAGTTTTTGTTTAAATCGAAAATCTGCTTGGAAATTTTGGAAAATGAATGCGTAGATGTGAGGGCCGGACGGGCATTGGCATGCGATTGCAGCTTCTTGCGGCGGCGGAGGCAGTGAACCTACCTGGCGGAGCTGAGTCGAAGTCGCACTTGCGCTTGCACCACTTCCTCCACCACCCGATTCCGATCCCGTAATGCTGCTGGCCGCAGCCGGTCTGCCGGCCTACGATGCCGGAAAACTGAACAGCGGCGCCGGATCTGGAAGCGTTGGTTCCGGCGGAGGCGGCACTCCCACCACATCATCAGTCGCCTCTCGCCCCAGTGCTGCCAGTGCGCTGATGAAGACGCTGTCTGTGCGCCTGCATCGCGGCACCGAGTTCATCAAGGACACCGTTCAGAAGGCCCTGGTGATGTCGGCACCCACGCCAGTGGCCTCGGTTCCTTCTGCTTCTGTTGCTCCCCTCGCCACCGCAAAGCTCCAGGACCAGCAGGGTCTGAAACGCAAACTGAGCGGCGCCGGCGGCTTGATGGGCTGCAGCGGCATCAGCAGCATCACCTCGATATCCGCCAGCACAAGCCGCCCCCACTACGTTCTGGCCCCTGCGACACACTCCACTCCACAAGTGCAGCCCAACGTGCCCACCGCCGCCTTCCTGCGCACCTACACGGTAGCTCCCACAGCACTGCACCGATCGGCGGATGCCCGGAAGCGGAATCCCAGCACCGACAGCCTGCTCATGGACCTGTGCCTCTTTAAGCCCATACGACCCATGCCCATAACGCCAATTAAAATGTGAGTAGTTTTATTTAATGAGTTTTTTTTTTTTTGGAAAAAATAACTCTGGAGAACATTACGTATAAATCTGCAGATTGATTTTCCTTTATAGGAACCACTATCAACTAGACATTATCGGTTTTAACCTCCACTTACAAACTCTTTTATATTCACTAGCAATAAATTTCGCAGTTTTGAACTGAAGAGACCCAAATTTGTTCCCGCTGGGAATCCAGATAGCGAGGATGACGACGAAGACGACGACGATGAGTTAGTCCACAAACCAAAGCTCAGGTGAGTGAAGACGTCTGTGAAACCCCTAAAAACACTGTTAAGACATGGGCTTATCCCTTTCAGCAACGTGACATTGCCAACAAACAAGAACTCGGCGTTCGTTCCTATGCCGTATGTAGAAACCACCAGCACCGCCATCATCGCCACAAACCCCAGCAGCAGCAACACCACCACCACTACCAGCAGCAGGAGCAGATCTCGCTCCCACAACACACTCACCTCAGGCTCTGCACATGCCATTACGAACACAAAGCCAAAGCGTCGTCGTCGCGCCCCCAAGGCCACGGCCAAAAGACGTAAGGCACCACAAATGAAATCCACCTCTCCAGCTGATGGAGGAACTGAAGCCAAGGTACCGGCCAAACGCAAGGCAGCGGCTTCCGCAGCAACTGGAGAAGCAAAACGCAGCCGTGGTGAATCCATCGCTTCAAACACTCCGCAAATTACCACTCCCGCTGAGGTCAAAAAAGGTCCGACCAAACGCAAGGCGAATTCTGGAAGTGGAAATGCCAAACGTAGCCGTGGCGGCTCTCCACAAACAACCACATCCACCTCTTCAACCGATGGCGCAACTGCAGTTAATACCAAACTCAAACGCAAGGCAGCAACTGGAAAAGGAGCTTCTGCTAAACGCAGTCGTGGATCATCTGAAGCCTCGCCGCCAGTGAGTCGCCCCTCGCCGCCGATGACACGTCTGCGAGCCCGTCAACAGATCTCCGCCAACAAATAAACATAGACGCGAAAGTCGATATGGCAGAAACCCCAGAAGTAAGAATAGTAATAGAATAGTAACAGAGTCGAGTGTCGCAATAGCTGTCGCGGCTCGAGTGCGGGGACTCGCTCTAAGGTCTAAGTCTTTTGGTTCCAGTTACTGTGTATGTGTAAACATGTTGCGTCTTTTCTGGGAAAGGCGTAAACAAGTGTAAGATTAGCCAGTAATAATGTAAAGTACACTTTAGCTCAACTCTCGTTTTGATCCAATTTGTGCAATCTGAATACGCGGGGCAAAGGAGTCCCCGGGTTTCTCCAGTTTCACTTGCTTTGAGTAAATGTGTTACAGAATTCTGGTTTGGTCTTCAAGACTGATGATATAACAAAGCAGACACTACGAATATAATAATGGTACAGAATGATATATGTATGCAAAATGAAAATTGATTAGTTCATGCGTAGTCCTCATACAAAAAGTCCTCATCAAGAAGAAAAGTATTAAATGTATAAAGAAAATTGTAAAAGTTAAGCCATTCCCGCGATACTGATATTTCAACAGAAACAAACCCTTTATGTTAATTTTTTGTGTTTCTTTGCGTTGGATGTACAAACAAAGTGCGATGAAGTCTCTGATTCGATTTAGTCCCATGTGTTTCGCCTTTGAGGCAGGTTTTGTAGGAAAGATTAGAAGAAGAATGAGTACGAAAGCGCCACAACTACATATAATAATTCATTTTCCTACTTTAATTAAGTTTGTTAGAATTTATAGCTTAGACACAACAAAAACAATTCATTCGTAAATTAGAAATATATATATAATGCTATCATTATCTACACATACGATATAACTATAAGAACAGCAATGATAATATAACAATATAGAAATCTATATAAAAAAAACAAAATGCCGGTCAAATCAACTGTGTGTTGTGATATGAACTAATTTATAAAACGAAGCCAATTCAATGATTCGCATGACCCAAACAACACAGAAAATCTCTTGGAAATCATTAAAAGGTAAAAACATCAATATAAATGGGAAATAAAAGGATGAGAGTAAAGAACAAAATATTCGAAACACACAAAAATGTTTAAAAATTAGCAATAAGCTAAAACCAATTTCAAAGCGATTCCAAACGAAGCAAAATTACTTAAACACACAGCGAGTTGTATGCGTCAATAAAAAATACATCAAAAATAAAATCACAAACCTGGCTATTTATTGAGTGAGGCCATTGTTTTACATACATATATATTCATATATAGATCATTTACAGGCCAACCTAAGACTTGAAACTTGTTAACGATTAATATATAAATATTTTATTGTTCTCTATACTTCATTAACGTATTTCTACATCTTCATATTAATCGTCATTCGGGGAATCATTCAATGCTTTCCATTTTAGTGGGCATAACATTCCACAGATCTTGTAATTTGTACCCATCTCTAATTCGTTCCATGGCAAAGCCCAGCTCCTTACAGTAAACAGGATCGCCTCTATCCTCCTGGTCGGTTGAACCATTGACACTACTAACCTTTCCCAAACATCCTTCGGCCAGGTAGCTATTCAACTTGGTATTGATCTCTCTCTCCTGCCTTTCATCCAGCTCCTCAAAGTTCTCGACCTTAAACTGGGGAATCTGGGCTGCCTCCTCAGCGGCGGCTGCCAAGCGCTGACGGGCATCCTGGGCATTGTATTGGATGCCAAAGTTCGGCTGCTCCCCGTAGATCGTGTGCAGAGAGCAAAGCTCCTTAAACAGTTCGTTCAGGCGCTCGGATGGATCAATGCGAAATCCAAGAACGTAGCCACCTCCAGTTTCGGCCGTTTGGATAACCAAAGCCGGACCGTATTTGGACTCACGGACGCGCAACTATTAAAAAAAGGAAAGAAATTCTGACAGTGAGTTGTTTCTGGCCTTAAATGTTATAAAAAATAATTAAAAACTTACACTTTCAATTTGCAGATAAGGCAAGCTTATGTTGAAAGTCTCATTTGCATCGGCAAACCATACCAGGCGGATGTTGGACACCACAAAACTTCCGAGATTCCCCTGATCACTGGACAAATTCCAGACGCCCTGCACCTGGCTGAACACCTGCTCATCCGGCAGAATAACCAACTGTCCCGCCTGGACAATGGCTCCGCGCAACTTCAAGTCGCGGTACAGATACGTGCGTTGGTATAACCTCAAAGGACAATTAAATTAGATTTAAACTCTGACTCCAACCATTTTTTTGCCCACTTACTGATATACATCGAAAACACTGGCGAAGATTGGCTGATCCCTGCGTGACGTTTCGCCCGAGACGTCGGTAAAGAGGAACTCAAAGCGGGTCTCGTTGCTTATGGCCAGAATATAGAGAGCCTGACTGGCCATCCGGCCCTTCGAGTGCATGTGCACCATCCGAGTGTTGGTGTTACCAATCCGAGCATACCCAATGGCTGCAAAGCAAAGACAACAGCTCTCAGTAAAATAAAAAATGGCTCAAACATCTATAGGCAGTCACATACACAGGTTGTACTTCTTGTGGACAAGTGAGTGCCAAATAAGCCGAAGATTTGTAACCATCAAGCGACCCGTGTCACCCGGATTTCCCTTGCTATCTTCGATGTGGTATATATAGTCCAGGACACGCTCTCCGCTACGAAGGTGCTTGTGTCTACAATTATTGAATGCCAACCTTAGAGATGGTATCTCCAGCTAGATCTCTCTTGTCTTACAACTGTGGGACATCGAACTTGACTTCCTTGTCCTCCCAAAGCAACTGCAATTGTGGCTGCTGCTGATTTCCATCCATTTGAGTCAATGATTTTAACATTTTTCCCTTTAGGTCTGTCTCGTCTTTAGTTTTGTTGTGGCGCTTTGTTTATTTGTATACCTCATAGGTTACTAGGCAACCATACATATGTACATATATCCTGGTAACAATTGTTCATTGCTTCATTGTATTGTCTAAAACTCCCAAGTTATGACTTAAATTACATAAGAATACGTATTTATTGTTCTTCATAAAATGTTATGTATATTTTCACTAATGTTTATATAAATACAAGAATATTCTTATGCTCTGCTTATCAAAGTATAAAAAGGTTCAGGCTTGAGCCTGATGCAAGATATTCCGTTTCATCGTCTGACACGGAAGTTGAGCCCTAGTTTATAAATTAGTGTAGCGAAGCTAACTGCTGGAAATGTTTCTCATCGTCGTTTAAATATTTTGCAGAACTTTAGACTTGAACACTAGGATACGTCCGGGAATATCAAAGCAGAAGGCACCTTTATCGAATACCGAAAGGGAAAAACTGGAGGAAAGTACACTAAGTGGTCTCACATAATAATCTGTGGCTCTGGGACACTGGCCGCAATGCTCTTGTGGGGCAGCACTTGCCCACCGTTGACATACAGCTCGTCCTTGACAATTACATCCTCGCCCAGCACCGTAATGCCCTCGATGCGAACCCAACGTCCAACAGTTGATCGCCAGCCAACGATGCAAGAATCCAACCAACTGTGCGAGCGAACTATGGCGCCCTTTAAAATGGTCGAACGCTTTATGCACACGCCATCCTCGATGACCACATCGGGTCCGATTGTAACATTGGGTCCGATGCGGCAGCCCTCGCCAATCTTAGCAGTCGGATCGACCAGGACATTGCCCACAACGCCGGGTCCTGTGTACAGCTTGGGGGATTGCTTCTGACGCAGCGAGCTTAAGTACAGGCACATACCTTAAGGAAAAAAGGAGAACCATTAATAAATAAATAAACGGGAAGAATTCTGGAACTGAAATATCCTAAAGGGGATGATGGTATCACAGCATAGGATTTCGGAGAAATTCATTTTTGAATGCGACTATTAAGGCGTAGCTTTTGGAAACATTGTGTCTATACGTTAATCCACAAATAAATAAAAATATCATGTTTTTCTACAATTTGATAAAAATGGCAATTAAGAAATAACTTCCCCGCTTTTAAATTGTTTAGTACAACTATAATAGTATATTTTAGCTATTAAATAGGCTACCCCAAAATTTAAAGTACAAATTTGAAACACAAAAGTAATTCCCATTTTCTCTCCTATCAGCAAACTGCCACAATCAGACTAATGAGCTACACTTCAGTTTTACAGAAATCGCTCGATCAAACATTTAGCCAGTTTCCAGGAAACTCATAGATAAGGCAAAAAAATAGAAGCAAACACACACAAATAAAAAAAGGCCAAGCACTATTGAAGATGCCTCAAAAAAAGATAAGGCTAATGGAGCAACCAAGATTGAGCATGAAAGTGAATCAAGCGCCAAGCATACCCGTTAGAAAGTCTTTTGGTTGTCCAATATCCATCCAGAATCCGGTCAAATCCATGGCAAACAGTTCCTGTTGCTCGGCCATAGCCGGAAACACTTCCTTTTCTATAGAGGTGGGCTTGACTTCGATCCGTTCTAGGACCGAGGGATTAAAGATGTAGATGCCGGCATTGATTTTGTTACTAACAAACTCTTGCGGCTTCTCGATAAAGTTCTTGATGCAACCATTTTCATCGTACAGCACAACGCCGTATTTTGATGGCTCCTCGACCTTTGTGACCACAATTGTGCCTTCTTTGCCGTGATTACGATGAAATTGGACCAGCTGTTTGAACGGAAAATCACAGATGACATCCGAATTGAGCACAAAAAAGGGCTCCGAACTGGCGGTTAATATGGTTTTGGCCAAGGCCAAGGGTCCGGCGGTACCCAAGGGTTCTGTTTCGTGCGAAAAGATCAGCTCTACTCCTAATTTGTCTGCCTCGACTTTGAGTTCCTTTTCCATTTGCTCGGCTCGATAGCTGACTGCTAAAATTACCTGGAGTATAGATTTCATAATTCCACATACTATAAACTAATAAATAATTCATTGGATTAGTTACTCACCTGCCGACAACCTGCATCCACCAGCGCCTCCAGCTGATGGAGCAATATGGGTTTATTGGCGAACTCCACCAGCGGCTTGGGCGTGCTTAGGGTCAGGGGTCGCAGCCGAGTGCCGTAGCCGCCGACGAGGATTAAGGCTCTCGTTCCATTGCCCATTGCTGCCGGATTGGGAGACCCGCACATGATTGGACACGGCTTCGTTCCTTGATTACACGTAATCTTGCAGTGACACGTCAGACGTCAAAGTGCCAAACGCCGGAGTACTCGCAGACTTTTGCCTTGTCTTCTCACCGGAATTACTGCAACCAACTGTAGGAAAAGAAGGTGAGGAGTTGGCTACATACATATATGTTTGACTTTAATTAAGTTTTTTACTCACCTTGTTTCTCTTTCGTTCGCTCTCTCTCTCTCTCTCCCTCTCTCTCTCTCTCTCTCTCAATGGGCTTTGTTTTTGTTTTTTCGCTGGTATTGTTCTTTGCGCTGATAAGAAGTTTGTTTGCCGCTGGCTGTGATACGTGTTTCTGTGGTAAAACTCCAATAGGCTTACAGTAGGTGCTTTTAAATACCACAGTATTTGATCAGTCTGTCTGTCAGTCTTGGGCCGAACAATGAAACAATTCAAAGTTTTATTTAGCCTTTGTTTACTGCAGTTCTATGTCCGAATCGAAATCCAAAGTAAATAAAAAACAGAGCTAGCAAAATTAATGTGACCAGTGCCCAATAAATAACCGCGTTGCCAACCTCTTTTTATGATAAGGGTGGAAGCGTTACCCACTTGTATTTATGAATTAAGCTAACAGCTGATATTTATGAAATACTTAAAAAATAAGCTAATCGAGATAAAAACGAATCATAATTGAGAATCGTTCAATACTTTTTCCTAAACGACAGAATAAATAAATGACTTAAAATACCGGCACTTAAAAAGCTGTTCCTCGGTATTGTATATCGGCTTTGCATCAGAGAAATAAACTACTACAAATAATCGCAAGACATGGATTCCTTTTGCATTATTTTATACAATCTTTAATTATTTTAAGCTGTACCTGTACACAGATTGTGTATAAAGCTTAGACGTCAAATATTAATATTAATAATTAGTAAAATGTTGGAAACGGCTATATCAGAGTTTTTGAAAAACGTCTATAGTAACATAGTAATTTTATTAGAGCTTGATTTTTTAAACTATTCACATATTTTTAATATACTATTAATTAATTAAAAAATTAATTAATTATTTTAAAAAAATTTTAAAAAAATTACATAGCTTCTTGTATCGCACTATTAAAGAATACAAAAATTAATTGAGTTCGTGTTTTATGTATTGTACTAACAAAAAACCAATAAAATCAAAACATCGATAGTGCCAAAAATCGATGTGTTAAAAACAATATCCAAACACTGATAGTAACGATAGAGCCAGCACTCACTATCGATGATATTTTTGTATACAAAATAATAATAATGTAAAATATCACTTTAATATATCGATATACTTAAATATACTTACTGAATATGTTACCCAAATGGTTTATTTATGGCACTTTTGCACGAAGATGGTATAATTATATAATAAATTGTACACTTTTTTTTCGTAGTTCTCAATTTTTTCCCGCGTCTGATCTTTTGATCTTCAGATTTGGGGGGAAAAAAGCTGAAGCGAAAGCCTTGACTCAAACAGCCAACGAGAGAGATTTTTGTTAATTAAGCTCACCCGACAGCAAACAAGAGAGAATTCTGTTAATTTGCGCTCTTTCCGCCAGATGTGAGCAGATCTGTTAATGAATTTTACTCCCTACATGAGAATTATGTTCCATGTAACTGCAAACGTGTAAAATGGTTATCTAGACGAGCAAGATATAAAATTTTAAATAACATGAAGTTTTCCAAAACATTGATAATGTAAAAAAATATCGCAACATCGATATTTGCGCAAAAAAATATCACGATATAAATATATCGATGTATTGATATTTTGATATATTTTCAACAACCCTATTATTTACGTAAAGTCGGTCGGAGTTTTGTTACGTGTGGAATTCAGCGTGTGAGAACTGTGCAAACTAATATAGAAACCATTAGCAATTAGTTAATAGGTAAGTAATTCGTCTGCAGCCAACAATTTGGTGCGATCGTAGTGCGAAATGATTCAGTGATTTTTGGAAATTTTGTGTTGGTTGTCGGACTGCACAGACGAGATACACACACGCACACACAAATAGGCAGCCAGCAGCGAGACGGAAAACAAAATGTCGACCATTTACACTCTTCCTATATACACTCTTTGTGGCCAATCTTTGAAAGGTTTGTGCTTATTTAGGGCTTCGAGAAGCCCAGTCGAACATCATTTCAAGCTGCAGAAGTCTTCACTTGAAGAAGATATAGTTAAAAGTGCCTGTTTTTATATCGGAAATCTGGTGATATTGATTTTTACAATGGCTGCCAAAAGACGTCAATTCCCAAGTAAAAGTGGAAGAAAAAGTTTATATTCATTGAATTATTGGCTTTGCAAACTAGAATTTACATAGGTATGTTAACACATTTCACTCAAGTTCAATCGTAAACGAAGTTCTTTGAGGTTCCAATTAACTGTCTGCCTCATGTGTAGAGTATCCATTTTTGTTTGTGTGTGCGTGCGTGTGGGTACGTTTTATTCTTCGAATTGGTATTTTCATTAGATGAGAATATATACGGAAATGAAGAAAGAGGAGAGGGACCGAGCATCTTGTTAAGTTTTACTTTCTCTTTTATTTATGCTGAAAACTTCATCTGCATATCATGTGTGTTTGGGTGTGAGGGAGAAGGGGAGAGCATTCAATTCTCATTCTCCCCTCTTATTTTGTGTTTAATTTTTGACTTCTCAGCATTTGCTTTTGCTTTTCGCCCTGCTCACAATTTGTATCTAGCTTTTAATATAATTTTGTTCACGTTGCACTGACGCCAAGGTTTTTTTTTAAATTTATTTTTGCAAGTAATGCTGCACACGACCAACGAAAACAATGACGAACATTTCATTTCTAGGTAACATCTCTTATTCGCCAATTTGTGAAATAAGCTTGATATGTTGTGACGTCATAATACACTTAGAGAACTATGTGTAAAAAAGTAAACAGCTGTTGCCAAATGGGCAGCACTGGTCATACCAGCCAAAAGTGCTAGCTCCTTTAATTTTTGCATTACACGTTCTGTCAGCATTTCGTGGAATACATACAAACAATTGTAATATTTCTGAATTCAATGTATGCAGAATTAGTTAAATAAATTGTTTCCTATAGTGAAACTAAATAAATCAGTGTTCGCCACCATGACACAATAAAATAAGGTAGTCCGGCATTAGCCCCAATGTAACATGACTTTGAATGTATGCCAAAGACATGTATGTATTTACATATGTACATACACATACCAAATGTATTTTTGCGCTTAATTACTGATCAGTTAAAACAACCATAAGATTTATATTTTAATTCGAATTAAGAACCGACCAGACTACCTTAAGTTATTGTATCTTGTTCCGCACGCCCCATTTGCCGTGTCGCAAAAAAGAAAACATCCAGTGTAAATTGAAATTTTATGGGTAAATATAATCTTTTGTTAATGGTTAAAAATCCATTTTGTGTGCCATATTACCGAAAAAGTTTTCTTTATATAAAGCTATTCAATATCATTTCTCACTCGGCTAAATGCAATGTTGGCATGGTATTTAATGGTGGCTAAGTTCAGAAATTTAATTTACCTAACATTTTTAATCAAATCATGATGATGTTCTGTTCTGTTTGCCTTGAGAAAACTGCATTAAAGTTGTTGTATACATATGTATGTATGTATGTATCTCATGTTGTTGATATGCTGCTGTTCCTCCTTAACAGATGTATTACGCGAATTACACCGCATAATCGGATCGATTACATTTTCTTCACAAGAGCAAAGACCAGAATTATCAATATGAATGGAGCCCGATAATGCCCAGCTAACCTTGAAAGTTGATTGAACTACGAAAAGGGAAATATTTTGACCCCCAAGACGGGGCATATAATTTGATTTCCGCCGCTGTCTCAACACACATACACACGCATTAGCAGGCAGTCAGAAGCCCTCGCTTGTACTTTTCCCCTACACGATTGGCACGGCATAAAAATCCTGTTGTGTCTGTCTCCTTGCGGATGATGACTTTGTGTGCAATGAGGAGAACCTGGCAGTTTTTATGGCTGTGCCGCTGCCTCTGTGTGCGTTTGTGTTTCATTTCGCTGAGCTTCGTTTTCGTTTCTCTTTCCACACCGTTTCGCCCCATCAACACGAAAAAAAAATAAAATACGAGCAAAAACACAACTCGGAACTTGCTCTGCGCTTTGTTTGCCTGGCTATTCCCTCTCGTTGTTTTTCTCTCTGTGTGCTCGTCAGTTCTGTGTGTGTTGTGTCTGAGTTCATTTGTGGCTGAGTGTGCGTGTGCGCGCCTTTGTACGTTGAACTCAAACTCAAACTTGTGAAGAGAAGTGGAGAAAAGAGTGAACAAGAACCATAGACGCCCGACCCACTGCCTCCCTCATTCACCTTATCATTCAAATAAACCCACAGCCCCTTGCCCATCGTCACCCCTCAAAGGGTTCGAGATTTTCGTTTCGTTTGTTTTTGACTGTCTAGCCCATCTTCCCAAGTTCCTACCTGAAATTCAAATAAAGCAAAAAATTGTTCACCTTAATTACAGTGGTCACTCCGCAGGCAAAATAAATCTGATTTTTTTTAATAAAATGGTTGTTATTATCTTATTCCAGTAACAGTTGTGTAGATGTAGGAAGTGATGTTTATTGCGATGAAAATATAATATATCGAAATATCGAGAAATATAGCATTTAAAGAAAAATATAGATTTGGTCGAGGGCATATTCAAACATAGTGATAACTTCTTTAAATTTCATAAATTCGAGACAGTCGTTGACAGCTAATTAACGATAAATTATACAGACAGCTAACTTGGACCCAAACTCCCTGTCAAATCTTTTCTTGCAGTACAAGAGAACAGCTGAATTCAGATAACCAAAACAAAGAAAACCTAATTCAAAGATGACGACTTAAAAAAATCGAAAGAACGAAAAAAAAAATTTTCTTTACGATCAGTTTATCTTTTGTATACCTTTTTCGATCAAATCCTAAATCGAATGAAAATATATCTAAAAAGATTTATATTGGCTAAGAATGGCCGGGTTATAGTCTCACTGTTGATGGCAGAAAGCAATCTACGAAAAAGTTAACTACCAGATAAGCTTCTAGACACCTGTAGCCTAACAAAACAAGTACTAATTTAGCTGCAAAATCGAAAAAACTTTGATTAGAAGCCTTTCCCCTTAAATAATATGTGATAACATTTTTCTTCTTCATTTGGCATTTTGTGATCCGGTGTAATTTAGTCGAACTAAAAACTCTTAGTAAAAAGATTTATACTGTCTAGTAATTTGAAGAATTGTAGTTTTGTGCTATACCTAGTTTTTAGCCGACGTTCTTTGATTCCTGTTTTCGTTTTTTCCCATTTTCGATATATTTTTTGTTGATCTCTGGCGGCCGACTTCGCCCAGTTCTTTCCGGAAAGATGAAGTTCCGTGCCCTCATGCAGGATGCAATGTATATGCGCGAATTCCAAGCCATTGTGGCCACATTGGCAAAACTGGCAAAGGATTGTGTGATGATCCTTGGCGTCCGGCAGATGCACTTCATTGTGAACGAAGACCAGAGCTCCGCTGCGTCACCCTTAGTTTGGGCGACCATTGCAGCCGATGAGTATTTTCCAGAGTATCGCATGGAAGCTGCCCGGTCCGATCAGGAGTACATAGTTCTGAGCATGTCATCAGCAAATCTTGGTAGAGCTCTATCCGTGCTCCGCAGTGGTGGTGTTAGCATGTGCAAATTAAAATTGCAACGGATTCAGTTTCCCTGTATTTCTGTGATTGCCTCCGTGCAATCGTCATCGTCATCAGAAGCCCGAGAAGTGGTCCACGATGTACCAGTGACCATAATTCCTGCCAGTGATTGGTCTGCCTATGTAGTGCCAAGGGTGCCAAATTCGCAACTGGCATTAAGTTTGCCATCGCTGCGTTTGCTTCGCAGCCTTATAGATAAACTGAAGAACATATCGCCCAGCCTTGAATTCCAAGCTAGTTTTGATGGAGAGCTCAGCGTGATAGCAACCTCTGAAATGTCCACGGTGACTAGTCGATTCCAGAAATTACTGCCACGATCTCTGGCTGTATCCCAGCAGGAAGCCTCCTGTTCCGTGGATTCTCGTAAAGCTTCTGCGTTTTTTGGAGCCCTGCAACTCCCCAACGAGGAACTAACCATTGGCATTGATCAGGAACACTCCATCCATCTACAAATCGATGTTCGACAGGATGTAGTCCTGCATTCCATCCTTCCTGCTGTCTGTTTTTAAATTATAACTAATATTAATCATCAGCTTCGATTTTATAAGATTTTTCAAAATATTCTCATTTTATCAAGTATGCAAAATGTTGTTTTATTTTATAAACGGATCCTGTCCAAAACATTTCATTATTACACTGTTAGCTTTTATGGGTTCACCCAATTGACGTCACTTTCCTTAATCTTTTTTATAATATTTCTAAATACCGCCAACAATTTTTAAATTGTTAACCATTTATCATTGTTTTTTTAGCATTAAAAATTAAAAGTTTTTGGAATATAGCATAGCGATAAAATCAAAAAGTAAAATAGGTTTATTTGGTTATCTATAGCCTTTTCCTTCTTCTTTGGCCCAATGATTATAACAAAGCATTTTTGGCCTTTCCCACTTCCGACAGCCCAACATTTGCTGAACATACTCTTATCCGATCGGACAAGTCCTCTATGAGGTATCTAGATAACCAGTAGCAAAAAATGTGGTTTCGAGCAAAGGCAAAAATAAAATCATTTCAACTGTTGGGTTACTCTGAAGGGCATTCCTTATCAGTTCTTGAATTTCATATGTTTTTAAGTACGTATCGTTTAAACCACAAGTTGTAGAAGCGATTTAAGAAAGAAAAAAATGTTAAATTTTTGACAAAGTTACGTGGGTCCCAGTGGGATCCGATTTACTAAATTTTAATTC